CAAAAGAACTCGGTCTCAAAAAACAACGTGAACAGTTCCCGAGGAAAGCACCCAAAGCTGACCTCTGCCGTGTGTCCCCCACACAAACACACACATGCACCAATCTTTTGAAAAAATGTAAGAGCTATTTCCACCTTAATTTTCATCTTTTAAAAATGTTTTTATTACATTTTTATTGATTTTTGTCTGTATGTGTGTGTGTGCAGGTATGCCACAGTGGGCAATGGAGTCCAAAGGACAACTTTTGGGATTTGCTTCCTCTTTCCTTGTGGCTTGAACCAGTCCCTCTCAGGAGACTTGGAGGGCACTCTCCTGTGCACCACCAAACGGAATATTGAACTTTACACATACACACACAACTCAGCAGGCTCTCACCTACGATTTCTATTCCTTATGATGGAGAAAATAAAGTGCTTCAGTGTCTTCCCAGAGGCCTGGTGCGCCCCAGGTGCGTGAAGGACTGGGGACAGCAGCCCTGGCCATGGGCTCTCTCTGTACTGCAGCGCCCCCTGCTGTCTGTGAGCCAGCCTGCCGTTCCCGGAGCTGAGACTGAACTGTGCTTCTGCTGCAACTTCTAGCTATTACTCCCTGCATGCCCATTGCTGCCTCTCTTACAGTCTACCCCTGCTCCTGAGGTGCGTGCGCCCCTCTAATCTTCCATGAGTGATGTTCCACTGTAGCTCACAGACCACCAGGGAGGGGCTCATGTCTAAGATTCAAGTCTCTCCCCAGAATATTGAACTGCAGGAATGACCAGATCAGAGAAGAAAATCTTCAGCCATAGCCAAAAACTAGACAAGAGTGCATGGCTAGTCACCCAAGAGAAACACAAATATGTTGTGCATAGCCTTCAACTTGGCCAAGAATTGACACATTAACCATGCATCCTTGGCAACCCACGCTCAGAGCTCAGCTTCTGCAGAGGAGAGGGACCTTACCCTCCATTTGTTTGCTTGTTTTGTAAGTTTGTCAGGATTAATTCAGCCCATTGCTGCACCTGCCCTGTGCATTGTGGAGATCTGGTGTGGAGCTCCTGGTAGCTCTAGGTAGCTTGCTCTTTGAATTTAAAAACAAAACATCTAAGGAGCCTTGGAAGGCCTTCTGGCCTTGGTGACCTACGTATGACTGTCAGAGAAGGGCCAGCTGTGTAGATGGAGCATTAGGACTTTCCAAAGGCGTTCCCCAAGAAGGAAGAAAGCTAAGCTTTAGAGCAACTGGAAGTTATGTAAGCTGGTGGGACTCAACCAGCACAGTCGCAACTTGAGAACGAACATGGAAAGGAACACAATTCTTTCACCACACATCCTAAAGTTCCCGAAGTGAGGCTGTGGAGACGGCTCAGTGGGTAGTGTCCTTGTGCAAACATGACCTCAGTAGTTGGGATCCCTAGCATTCAGGTAAAAAACTAAGTAAGGAGGTAGCACACATCTGTCACCCAAGCTCTGGGGAAGGAGGCAGGATTGTGGGAGGGGGGAGGAGAAGGGGTAGTGGCTCCCTGACATCCAGTTGAGCTGAAATGGTAAGCTTCAGCTCACTAAGAGACCCTGTCTCTACAATAATATGGAGCTCAACTGAAGATGACAGCCAACACCAACTTCCGGCCTCTACATGAACATGAATGTGCACAAGGGAACACACAAACAGGGAGACAAAGAGAGCCCGCTCTCTCTTACACACACACACACACACACACACACACACACACACACACACACACCAGAAACTGGACAGGAAGGAAAGTATGACAAGTAAAGCTATATTCAGACGGTTATACATTTAGGACATAAAATGGTATACTTGGGCGGTCTTAAACTCACCATGAAGTTTTGAACTCCTAACCTTTCTCTTCTTCCACACACTGAGTGCTGAGATTGGAGGTGTGTACCACCACACCCAGATTGGTTTTTTCCTTTCTTTCTTCCTTCCTTCCTACCTTCCTTTCTTTCTTTCTTCCTTCCTTCCTTCCTTCCTTCCTTCCTTCCTTCCTTCCTTTTTTTCCAAGACAGGATTTCTCTGTAGCTTTGGAGCCTATCCAGGCTGGCCTCAAACTCACAAAGATCCACCTCCCTCTGCCTCCTGAGTGCTAGGATTAAAGTTGAGTGCCATCACCACCTGGCTAGGTTTTTTTGTTTGTTTGTTTGTTTGTTTTCCTTTTGGGGCAAGGTTTCTCTGTATAACAGCCCTGGCTATCCTAGAACTCGCTTTATTGACCAGGCTGGCCTTGAACTCACAGAGATCTGTTTGCCATTGCCTGGGATTAAAAATGTGTGCCACCGTTCCTAGTTCACCCAAATTGTTTTATTGCAACAGATCCTTCCTTCCTTCCATTTTTAAAAACAGGGTCTCTCTGTTGAGCCCTGGAACTCACTCGGTAGGCCAGGCTGGTCTCGAACTCACAGAGATCCACCTGTGTCTGCCTCCCGAGCGATGGGATTAAAGGTGTGTGCCACCACCACTCTGGCTTTTTGTTGTTATTGTTGTTTTGAGACAGGATTTCTGCTTTCTCCTCATGAACCAAAGATACCAGTGAGATGGTGTGGGAGCTACTGCTTCATAGATATTAGTGGGCTGTGTGATGCTTAGGGCTCAGGACCAGCCTTGGCTGGTGGAGGTACTGGAGACACAATCACACATCCTTTATCCTATAGCAAGCTGCATTAACTCTGGAGAGCCTCTGGCAGCCAACATCTGTTCTGGGTGGTTACCACCCCTTCGGAGTCTGCAAACAGCCCTCCTGTTGGGGTGGAATTGTTCTTATTCTTGACCCCTGTAATCCACAGACACTGTGCTTACTGCTGGAGCCCATGAGTGAATACAGGGCAGGGTAAGGAGGGCACTTTTGCATGCTAAGGGCGAAGAGCGAGCAGGCCTCCAAATTCCAGGTGCTGGATGGAGTTGAGATTTGCAACATTCCCACACTGGGGTCACAGGCAGGTGAATAGGTCACGGGCTGAGCTGAGTAGGGTTAGGGTTTGCACCTTTCCTCATAGTCTCTTAATGTTGCTATCAGCAGCTCTCCACAGCTCCACGCTCTTGTTTCCAGCTCATCCAGTTCAACCAAGCCCGTTTCCCAGCCTCAGCCCTTGCCCTGCTACCCAGGACCCAGCTGTGCAGAGGCAGACCTTCTCCCTGGAATGCCAGCAGTCAGCAGTACCCCAGGACCTGTGAGGTGTGACCCAAAATGGAGTTTCTCTCCCTTTTGCATGAGTGTACCTGTTCACGCGGAGGCTACAACCCTCAGGCGCCATTCCTCAAGTATGACACATCTTGTTTTATTATTTTTTTTTCTTGTCTATTTTCATCTTCTCTTTGTTTGCTTTTCAGAACAGGGTTTCTCTGTAGCTTTGGAGTCTGTCCCGGAATTCACTCTGTAGACCAGGCTGGCTTCGAACTCGCAGAGATCTGCCTGCCTCTGCCTCCTGAGTGCTGGGATTAAAGGTGTGCACCACCACCACTGAGCAGTCTGTTTTCTTAAGACAGGGTTTCTCTGTGTAACAGCCCTGGCTATCCTGGGACTAGCTCTGTAGACCAGGTTGGACTCAAATTCACAGAGATCTGCCTGTCTCTGCCTCCTGAGTGCTGGGACTAAAGGCCCGCACCACCTTGCCCAGCTTACTTTTTCTCTTAATGTGGGTTTTGTAGCCCAAACTATATGCTCAGGTTTGAATGGTAAGCATCGCAATGACCAAGCCATCTCGCTAGGTCGCCCCCTCCCCCACTCAGTGACTTTCTTGTGTTGAAACCAGGTCTGTACAGCCCAGGCTGGTCTTGAAGTCCATCTTCCTGAGCCCTGAGATTGCTGGCTTCCACCAACCACGCAGGGCTCTGCGGCATGTTTCACTTCTGGTGAGCACAACCCAGTCATGTTTTATCGCTTCCTGCCCTTCACCCACACAAGCTCTTTCAGTGACACCGGGAAGCCATAAGCCCATCCCAAGTTTAAATCATCATAAATGGGAAGTGTATTTAACATACCTAGGTCCCACAGCACCTTAGCTCAACAACGCAGCTTGTTCTGCACATAGCAGTATCCATCCTCAAGAACTCATTGCTGGGACAGTATCTGGAGAGAAAGCTGTATGGTGTATTCCCAGTCCAGGAGAATGCTATTTAACTTACAGTAGGGTTACTTGAGTCAGTTTAGCCCTGGCTGTCCTGGAACAACTTAACGGTGAGTCTTTCGCCTCAGCCTTCTCAGCGTTGAGATGACATGTGTGGGCCACAACACCTAGCTTTGAAGTAGGAGTTCCACAGTATATAAAGCGTGTCCATTAACACTGACACCTGGCCCCTTCTTGTGGCTTCACAAGTTCTAGGCAAGTGTCACCATGAGCCATACCTTCCACCCTGTTTTATACTATGTAAAAGTCCTTTGCCAGGTGTGGTGGCACATAGCTTCTTTTCCACTCCTCAGGAGACAGAGGCAGTTGGACCTCTGTGAGTTCAAGGTTCATCTGGTCTACATAGCAAGCTCCAGTACAGCTAGGGATACAAAAGAAGACCCTGTCTCACACAAAACAAAATAAAACAAAGTCCTAAGCTGAACCATCCTAAGCCAGGAACATCAATCGCACCTATGTACTCCAACACACACAAGCACACATGGGCAGTGTTTCTCAGCATGTTCCCACAAACACTATACATGTGCCCATGCACACAGGCATACTCATACACATAGCGGCCACGCCCACTTAGTCTCACGTACCCAGGCACAACCATGCACATAACAGCTACATCTACACTCTCATATAACCAGCATAGCCAATCACAAAATATCTGTGCCCATACAGGCCTTTACCCTCAGGCACAGTTACGCACATGGCAGTCACGCTCACATATGTGTATCAGTGGTTCCGTCATGTGTGTTGAGAAAGACCACTCTGTAGTCCTGCTTGGCCTCAGAGTATGGACTGTTAAGGGGGTGGGCAGTGATGTAGGAACAGGCCTTCCTAGAGGAATGTGCCGCGGTGTGGACATCTGCAAAGTTGAGCTGCTGGGTGTTCTTGGTCACTCATTACAAGAGGAGCCAAACTAAGAATGACAAAGGAGCCTTTACTCAGTACCGTAACTACTTCCCCACAGTGCACCCCTATAAAAGGTTCTGGGTCTGCATCCTGCTCCTGAGGGGCCTAAAGGAAAGGCTCTCATTGAGCCGCATTGATCTGTGGGAAGCTCAGGGAGGCCAAGGGTTGAGGTAATGGAAGAACAGCAGGGCTACTTGGAAGCACAGCCTTGGGGCATCCATTGGCCGGCTAGTCTGCACACTCTGTGTCTGGACAGTGGCCCTGTGAGCCCTCCAGGAAGAGTCTGTGGCCAGGCCTGGAGCCCATTCCTTAATGACCAGCCCACCCTGCACCATCTTCTGCAGGCGAGGAGAAGCTGCAGCTGTAGGAGGCTGGGAACCAGTCCCCTCCTGGGCCACAGTCACTGGGGTAGTAGACTTTATCAGTGGGAAGACCTTCAAGTTAGGCTAGGAGCATCTGCGGCTTGGCGCATTGTCTTTCTCCACGCTCCTGGATGACCTTGGCATGCACAGCTCGCTGTCCTCACTTTCCCGAGGTACCTGGTGTCCAACTGGAAGAGGGACTGTGTGAGGTCTTCAAGCAGCCTCGTCTTCTGCTGATTGCTTGAGTCCAAGGTCTGAGGGAGCCAGGTAGGGCAGCCACCAGGGGCCATCAGCTACTGAAAAGCTACCTCACCCCTGTCCCTCATAGGACACCAGTGGGTGTCTGGATAGAGAAGGCAGTGCACAGACTGAAACCTGTCAGGGGAAGAAGTGAGGTCAGGTCTGCTGGGCAGGAGGCAGACACCAGAGTCCTCCAAGGCTAAAAGCCCCCAGCACCCACTCACCGTGTAGGGTCCTGCTGTATACTGAAACTTCCAGCCACATTCACCACATTACGTGGGTTCTCAGGACCCCCATAGCTCAGGGTGACCTGGGAGAGGGGGCCAGGGAAAGTGAGGGTCAGCTCTTCCTCCTGGGCACTCTACCTGCTACAGGAAACTTCCCACACCCCTCAGGCTTAGGGATGCAAGCTTCACAAAGAAACCCCTCTGAGCTGGGTGGGCGGTGGTGGCGCACACCTTTAATCCCAGCCCTCCTGAGGGTCCTGCATATCCAGCAGGCAATGTCTTGGCCCATGGTCCACTCCCCGGGGACAACGATATCCTAGGCTAGCCCTGTCCTGAGGCCTGCCCAACTGGGAGACCTCCTGGGAGATAGGCTGGGTAAGGCTAAGGGCCGGGCTGGGTGGGATGTCTTCTACCTGCTGCAGAACGGCATCGGACGGCAGCCTCTGCAGGTTCTCCAGATGGGAGTGGAACAGGGTACTGTGCAGCAGACGGGCACCCAGAAGCCCCTCCACAATGTAGCCTACTGTGCAGTCATCCGGCAGCCGAACCCGCTCGGCCGTGCTCATGAAGCTGCCTAGACTGGAGGGTGGGCTAGTCAGCACCTCTGTAGCCCTCAGCACCCACAAGCCAGGCGTGTGGGCTCCCAGTCTCCCACTTACCTGGCCCATGGACTCATTTTGAGGGCAAGGCCCCTGCTCAGGCAGAACCCAGCCCCACCAGTAGCAAACCAGAACTTCACTGTGTTAGACTGGAAAAAGGGAAAACTTGGTCAAGGACGCCCAGGATGGGGCTCTTCACCATCAGCCCCTCCACCCCTCAACTGAATCATGTCCTCCATCTATGAGAGTCCTCCATATACGAGAATTCCTAACAAGTCACCTTCTTTATCACTGCGCCCGATTTACCAGCTCCACAAGGCCTGGGCCCAGGCCACCTTGCCCACGCCTGTCTTAGCCTGTTCCCACGCTTGCATGGGCCACTGAGTCAGCCTCAGGGAGGATGTGGGCCCAGCACTCACGGTGCCGCCACCCTGGATCCTCTCGGTGGCCTCGATGGGGTGGTCCAGACTGGGTCGCCCCAGGTAGATGTCTTGGCTGGAAGAGAAGGTGGAAAGCAGATGCAGCAGGCTCTCGGGGTTCACATAGTTGTCGTCATCCACGTGGCAGAACCATCTGAAGGCGAAGGAAGAGACCCTGTGCACTGAGCCCCCATCTAAGTGGGAGGGAGCCCACTCGGTGCTCAGCCCCGGGGAGGGGGGTTCTCGCTCCGATGGGTGAGCTTACTTACTTTCGTCCAGATTCTATGAACTTGTCATATTCCACTGACATTTTACAGCACAGTGCTTGGCGTGTGCGCACGGCAGAGCAATTGGTGTTGATCATGCGGCCTCCTGCACAGTTGGAAGGAACGGGAAATGCGAGGGTTGACTTCCAGCTTGCCTCCTTAGGGTTAGGCTGGAATAGGCCTGTCCGGGCCACTGCACCAGGTTCAGCAGCAGCCCCACCACAGCCCTCGTTTTGAAACAGATGACAATTGCTTCCTCGAGGAATGTGGGTGCCACTGGCGCCAGGGACTGGGGGTAGGGGCGGGTGGGGATCTGACTACTGGAAAGGATGGGCACTGGAAGGGGGGCTGGCCATGGATGGGTGTCCTGGCTCTGCCCTCCACCAGCTGTGTGACTCTGGTCAAGGATCAGAATGGCCCCGGTAGCTACAATTCAGTCCAGGGGAACTTTCTCACCGGCCAGCAGCTGGAGCTCAGGGTCGTCTCCATCAGTGAAAATGAACGTCTGTGGGGGGGGGGGGGGAACACCGTGAGGTGCCGGAGGATCCAGCGAGTAGATCTGGGAGCCAGGGCAGGGGTCCCGGGTACGGGAATGGCTGGGGGAGGGGGTGGGGGTGGGGTTGCCGGGGTCCCGGGGTCCAGGAGCCTGCGCGGCGGGGGGGGGGGGCGGGGCGCGCACCTGCCGAGGGGCTCGTGAGATCCAGGTGTGCAGCAGCAGCCGCAGGCGCGGGCCGTGGTTCTTCCGAGTGGTCTTGACTGCGATGAAGACGTCGTCGGGCTGCAGGCGGGAGACCTCGAGAGTCAGACCAGGGGTCGGAATCCGATCGGGTTCCGGTGCGGGCGCGCGAGGCAGCGGCAGCGGCAGCGGCAGCAGCAGCAACACGGCCAGGACCGCGGCCAGCGCGAGGCAGGCCCGGCACAGCAGCCCCCGCACACGGCTCATACGATCGCCCGGCCGGGGCGCTGGGCGCCCGCCTGACAGTGCGGCGGCCCCTTTAAGAGTGACCAGTGCCCCTCCCCGAGCCTTGACCCGGAACTGACGGCCGCGGCGCCCCGGAAGTGAACGTCGCTCTGCGGCGCCGGGGGTGGAAGATGCCGCTGCCGGTTCAGGTGTTTAACTTGCAGGTAGGGGTTGGCGGCTGCGCTCGCCGCGCGGCGGCTCGGTCCAGGTCGGGCCTGGTGGGCGGGGCCCGCGGCGGGCGGGGCGGGGCGGGGCCCGCGGCTCAGACCCAGGCGCGCGAGCATCGCCTGCCTCGCGGGCCGCTCTGGGCTCCGGCCCCCGCCCCGCCCCCGCCTCGCGCGCCAACGCTTTTTCGTGCTGGTGCTGGTGCTGGCTGCCCAGGAGAGGTGCGTCGGGCCAGGATGCGGGGCAGCCCGGCGCCCAGCTCTGCCTCGTCGTCGGCCTCCGACCTCAGCCGCAGCCCTGCGCACAGCAGGTCGGACTTGCGGCCCGGCACGGCGGGCGACTACAACCTGAGCGCCAGCCTGTCGGCCTGCACGCTGCTTTCCGAGGTACCGCTGCGCGCCCGGCGGCTCTCCGGGGTCGCTCGAGGCCCTGGGCCCCTCGAGCCCTCCGCCAGCCTCTTCCGCATCGCGGCCTGTCCGCTTTGCCTCTCCTGGCTTCTGCAGATAGGCTGTCAGTCTGCCTTGTTGTCTGTGGCCTGGAGGAAGCCGCGCCAGTATGGCGGCTGGCAACGCTTGAGGGCTCCTGAAGCCAGTCAGTCGAGAGTTGTGCCCAACACCTGAGTGGGAGAGCTGACGCGGGCACCTGGCGACCAGCACCTGTGGGAGATGAGTGCAGGTGCGCTCTCTTCCCTGGTGCCGTGCGTCAGGGTGCTCTCTGTACATTGCAGGGGGCTGTGGAACCGATGCAGATCGATGTAGATCCCCAGGAGGACCCCCAGAACGCACCTGATGTGAACTACGTGGTGGAGAACCCCACCCTGGTATGGACCCGCATGTGGGGAGAACTGCTGGCAAGCTGGGTCTGTTGAGGGATCCAAGTCAGACTCCCCACAGTAGTGTACAGCTTGGGAAGATCCATGATTCTTAGCCACCACTTTAGTCAGGTTTTTTCTGAGCCACGAAACTGGGTTTTCATTTGTCCGCCTATGTTGGGTTCTCAGACGGGTCTAAGACCCTGCACCCTCTTAGTGGGAACAGTCCATCACTTGTCAGGGTATGCCGGTGTTCCCGCTTTCCAGTGCAGAGCTTGACCTGAAGGCCCTTAATCCACCCCAGTGATGTCTTCCTAGGATCTAGGAAGATAGTCAATTCTGTAGGCCGAGGCCTAAGAAAAATAATGTACTCTGTTGGGTCCTTGCTTAAGCCCCCCCCCCAACCTCTCCCCACACCCCAGGACCTGGAGCAGTATGCAGCCAGCTACAGTGGCCTGATGCGCATTGAGCGGCTGCAGTTTATTGCTGACCGTTGCCCTCCACTGCGGGTAGAGGCCTTGAAAATGGCCCTGTCTTTTGTGCAAAGGACATTCAACGTGGATATGTATGAAGAGATTCACCGGAAGCTCTCTGAGGCTACCAGGTAAGGGCTTGAAGCGGGTAAGGGACCAAGTCTGGGCTGGCTTGCTGGCTGGCAGGGCCTTTGTGTTCCTGTCATTATGACTAGCACCCCACTGACTGGTGTACCTGTCATGTACCTCTGCACATAGAAAGTGTGAGCATGCTAACTCTGTGTGGCAGGGAAGTGGTGGCAGGCCCTGTTTTCCCGCCCTTGGCTTCCTTTGCCTCTGTGCAGACAACTAACTGGGATTCCTAATTCTTAAGAACCTAGTGTAGCTGTCCTTGCAAAAAGCTGGGGGTCAAAACCCCTGACTGTCCTTTAAGCCTCCCTGTCTTACTGTGGGGTCCTAGGTCAGGAACTGTCTCTGTGCCCCAGGTACAGATTGGGCTCTTTGAGTAGGGCAAGAGACAGACGAAAGCTTGTGATGTCCTCTCCCCTTGCTCCCTCGTCCTTGTTATTGTCATTGTGCTTATGGCTAGGTTACCCTTCAGGGAGCTGCAGAATGCGCCGGATGCCATCCCCGAGAGTGGGGTGGAGCCCCCTCCCCTAGACACAGCCTGGGTGGAGGCCACTCGGAAGAAGGCCCTGTTGAAACTGGAGAAGCTAGACACAGACTTGAAGAACTATAAGGGCAACTCTATCAAAGAGAGCATCAGGTGCTGGCCTGCCCTGGGGCGGGGCGCGCAGGGTGGGGAGGTGGGCAGCTGGGCCTGGCCGGTCCCTCGACCAGTACCCACTCACTGCCAGTCCTACAGGCGCGGCCATGATGACCTGGGTGATCACTACCTGGACTGTGGGGACCTCAGCAATGCCCTCAAGTGTTATTCCCGAGCCCGGGACTACTGCACCAGTGCTAAGCATGTCATCAACATGTGCCTCAACGTCATCAAGGTGGCCTGGGTGACAGGTGGGTAGGCATGGAGGGCCCAGAAGGGGCAACTGAGACTTAGTCTGGCCTTGCCTACTCATCTGCCAGGTCAGTGTCTACTTGCAAAACTGGTCTCATGTGTTAAGTTATGTGAGCAAGGCTGAGTCCACGCCAGAGATTGCTGAGGTAAGGTCCACCTCCCCGGATACCCTGCTCACGGAGTCTGGTCCCCCATTCCCATTCCTAGCCTCAGTTTCCTTTTGAGTGTACTCTTGTCCCTTCTCAGGGTAGGCTGGGGACAGGGAGTAGAGCTGCTTGAATGAGGGGGGACAGGGTAGGGGGCCTCTCATGTCTGCTGCCTTCCCCTGTAGCAGCGTGGAGAGCGGGACAGCCAGACCCAAGCCATCCTCACCAAGCTCAAGTGTGCTGCAGGTGAGGCTTCCAGCTACCTCAAGCCCTTGTAACCTTGAGATGGGGCCCACCCCAGGGAAATAGCTGGAGGAGGAGTACTGGCAGGCTTCAGGACATCCGTGTGTGTCTGTGTGCGGCATGTGCTTCAAGTTCAAGTAGATAGCTGGTTTCTGAGCCTGGCTATATGTTATGGGCATTCTGAGGATGCCCTGCAGAGCTAACTTACAGGAATGTCAATTAGATGCTGCTACTAACAGGATTTCTGCCCCTAAACTGGGGAATACTGGGCAAGAGGCCAGTGGTTCCATCCGCTGGTGACCATGGTCTTCTAGGGCTCTAGTAACCTCCTCTAAAGAGCCTCATTTCATTGTCTCCCTGGTCCCCCTTTAGGCTTAGCTGAGCTGGCTGCAAGGAAGTATAAGCAAGCTGCTAAGTGCTTCCTTCTGGCTTCTTTTGATCACTGCGACTTCCCAGAGGTGAGGAGGGGGGCATATGGGACTTTTCACCTTATCCAAGTCCATGAGAGAAAATGAGGGCTCATGGATTGAGCTGTTAGCCTCTCCTGAATGAGGTCTAAGCATTCCCTGAGTGGGTAGTGGGAAGGGCAGGCCAGACCCCAACCCTGGCCTTCCTCCTTGGTCTGTGCCCCAGTGACCCAGGACCCCGGGTCTCTGGACCCACCTCCCCTTCTGCCTCTCAGCTTCTGTCCCCCAGCAATGTGGCTGTCTACGGTGGCCTGTGTGCCTTAGCCACTTTCGACCGGCAGGAGCTGCAACGCAATGTTATCTCCAGCAGGTAAGGTGGGTGGTAGGCTCCTACCTTCTGCCCCTGCCTAGTGTCAGCCCTCCTGTCCCTCAGCTGAGCACTGTGGTCTCCTCAGCTCCTTCAAGTTGTTCCTGGAGCTGGAGCCACAGGTCAGAGACATCATCTTCAAGTTTTATGAGTCCAAGTATGCTTCATGCTTGAAGATGTTGGATGAGATGAAGGTAAGGGACATGGGTATAGTCACATTGAGACTGGGCTAGATTGTGCCTCAGGGTCATTGACCATTTCTCCTCTGAAGGACAACCTGCTCTTGGACATGTATCTGGCCCCCCATGTCAGGACACTGTATACCCAGATTCGCAACCGAGCTCTCATTCAAGTAAGTAGAGGAGGGGCTAACAGTGAAGAGGCTGTGTGAGGTACAGACATTCTGGGGAGCAGTGGATAGCATGTGGCTTCTGTCCTGTAGTACTTCAGCCCCTACGTGTCAGCTGATATGCACAAGATGGCTGCAGCCTTCAACACGACAGTTGCAGCCCTGGAGGATGAGCTAACACAACTCATCCTGGAAGGGCTCATTAATGCCCGCATCGATTCACATAGCAAGGTGGGTAGGCAGGGCCGGGGCTGCGGGAATACGGTGTGGAGACCTGCTGGGCCATCGTGAATCTTGGCTCACGCCTGTTACAGATACTGTATGCTCGAGACGTGGATCAGCGCAGCACCACCTTTGAGAAGTCCCTGCTGATGGGCAAGGAGTTCCAACGACGTGCCAAGGCCATGATTCTAAGGGCGGCTGTGCTGCGCAACCAGATCCACGTCAAGGTGAGCAGCCTGGGGTGTGAAGGAATGGGCAGCACTTCCACAGCCGCCACTGAGCCCCTCCCTGTCCACTGCAGTCTCCTCCTAGAGAAGGGAGCCAAGGGGAACTGACTCCAGCCAACAGCCAGTCAAGGATGAGCACCAACATGTGAAAGTCCTGGATCACCCTGACCTTCAGACGATGGTCTGCACTCCTCCCCTGCCCATGGAAGCAGCACCTGGGCCTCCTGCCTGCTCTCAAGAGGAGGCTCCAGACTATTTGTGTTGTGGTTCAGTAGCGCAGCCTGGCCACATGGATGCCAGTTCATTGCCCTTCCACTCAGGTATTCTCTGCTGTGGTAGGCAAGCTGCTCATTATGGCTGCTCAGGCCTGACTATAGGTTTCTGTCCCAATGAAACAGACCGCGTGCAATGCCCAGGTAGGGTACCTCATCCCTCCTGTCTGTGTAGTTCTGACTGCAGCAGTGTAGTTCATTAAAGTACAGATCGATCACTGCCCCAGGCTCTGTTCCTTTCTGCTTTGGAAGCTCTGATCCAGGGAAATCCTCTGGATACAC